ACTTGGGAGCTAGTTCAGTTTCTTGAGGGAAAGAAGGTTATTGGGTGCAAGTGGGTGCACAAATGAAACTAGTAGTATCAGAAAAAGAAAGGAAAAATTTTATTAAAATATTATTTAAATATAATTTCATATATTTATTTTCTATTTTTATAATTAATAATTTTAATTGATTATAAATTTTTGTAGCCTTATAATCATACAAATAATATACACATGAACAGTAAATTTTTGTTCATGTTCCACTTATTTATATACGAGTAAAAAAAAATATATATATATATTCATTTTGACCGTCCGATGCAGCACATTCGGTGAGACCGTTTTAATAATTACTTTCCGTCGTGCAACAATGACAAGCCAACACATTATATGTTGGCAATTCTTAGAATTGATGCAATCAATGAGCTACTACACCTTTTCTCTAAGCTCCTCATTTTTTATTTTTTTATTTCTTGAGTTATTCTTTTTCACTTCGATACACTTACTCGCGAACTTTTTTTATTATTTTTATTATTTTTTCATTTTATTCTGAAATAATTTTAACATGTTGATTTAATCTTTAATTTATCAATGCTAAAATAAAATAATTTTCGTATTATCAAAAATGACTGGACCTCGTGTCTTTTTCTTTACTGAACCCCCGGACCACCTGACCGGCATGCATGCAGATGGACACTTTATGAAAAGGAACATATTGTTTAGAAGTGAAATTTGAGGAGCAAAAAGATGTCTAAGGTACGTTTTATCTAAATAATAATAATAATAATAATAATAATAATAATAATAATAAAATAATAAAAAAAGCAAAAAATTAATTATAAAATATGGGTTTACAAAAACGTTTCATATAATAAATTTTTTATGAATTACACAATTCTTATGTATTACATATCAAATTTTGAATATTTTTAATTAAATTATTTGATTTATAATTTTATAATATTTTTTCAAGTTAAAAATTAAAAATATAAATATTGTAAAATTTAAAAACTAATAATTATTATAATATTTTATTATTTCATGATTTATATTTTAAGTAAAATATTTAAAATTAAGTAATTATATTATAATAATCCATTTTTAATTAAAATACTAAAATTCAAAAATTATGAAAATTTAGTAAAAATTTGGATTAAATTACTTAGATATCAATGTAATTAACTTTTCACAAAGTTATATTAGTTAATGAATTATTTTTTTTAAAAAAAAATTATTATATGATTTATTTAATGATGTTATAATAATTTTTTTATTTAAAATTAAATTTATAAAATTATTAAAATTTTAAAAATACATAATTACAAAATTCTATTTATCAATAGTTTACATTTACATTTTTTTTATAATTAGATAGTTTATTTAATTATATTGTAGTAAATTATTTTCTAAACTAAAAATTAAACCTCAAAGCTTATGTAAATTGAGAAAAAAATAGTATTAAATTATTTAGATGACAATGAAATTAATTTTTTACAAAGTTATATTAACTAATGAATTTTATTTAAAATAAATTCTATAACTAAATGATTTGATTAATGGTATTATTTTTAATTTTTTTTTAATTTTAAAATAAATTTATAAAATTAAGCTAATTAAAGGAAAATAATGATTAAAATATTAGATAGTAATGAAAATAATTTAAATTGTTTAAATAATCTGCTATTTGATAAATTTAAAATATAAAAATTAAAAATTTTGAATAATAAAATATTTTTCAAATAATTTCAAACAATATTAAAATAACACTGGATACAAGAAATAAAAAAATTTAAAAGTAATGCAAATTTATCTTCTTCGAGTGGTCGTATAGTATCTAATCGTGAGGTATGTCTTGATGACACTCGGAGTGGTCATTCTCTATCTCTTCTCCACTTAATGTGACAACTGGAGTCTCTTGTAGCATTTAAAGGCACACCAAACTCGGGTCTCATATGAAACTGCAAATTGAAGCATCCACCCTCAAAAGTAATCCAATTTATTGTGTGGTAAGATCAGAAAAAGATCTTCTCAAAGCATGTATAGTTGATCCTACTGAAATGTTAGTTGGTGACTAATGTGCAATATCAAAAGTTGATTTTCGAAAAAAACACTCTTTTGTTTGGTCGAATGTGGTAATATAGAGTGATTGATTCACTCTATTAGCACTATAGAAAAAAGCACTAAAACCGACGGAAAAGTTAACGGCCTTATGCACATTAGAAAATTTGTTCTAATTACTGATGATTTTGTGACTATTTTTTATCGTGGTTATTTGTGACGACATAACTACAACATTTACCGTCACTTATCAACAGTATTTTGATTTCCGGTAGTTTCTAATTATAACCGACAATATAAACTTTCGGTTATAAGAAAATATTAACCGACGATTATAATTTGACAATTATTTTTGAACCTTCCATCTAGTCGGGTTTTAACCTACATATTTTATTATTAAGTGACATCAACCATCGTCTGTAATAGTTTTAATAATCGGCGCAATATAAGCCATTGATAGGCCATCAGAACTAATTCTATTTCCCCCTCGAAATCACCTCCCTCTCTGTGTTTCCCTAATCTCTCCTCTCGTCCCTCGACTCTCCTCAAAGCCTTCGCATGTTTCTTGCATGTCCCTCTCTGTTTCATTCAACAACGATACATCCTGAATAAGAGCTAGTTGGGAACACTGCGGTGGAATCACAACTTACAGTGACTAGAAACTCCCATTTTTCTTCTCCTTCGACTCCTCTGCTACCACCCAAAATGACTAGGGAAGGTAACTTGTTATCTTCATTTTCATTTGCTTTAAATAATGCATTTAGAGTTTAGGAATAATTAGGAGGTTTTCCAAATATTTTCCTATTTCAGTTGGATTACAACTAGGGCTGTGAATTTTGCTCGAATATTATTAATCGTTCTAAGATTGATTTGAATTTTTTGCTTGGAGAGAGAATGGATCGAAATAAACAAGGCGAGCTGTGATCGCCCATTTGGGATATGGTGATTCACCCTCCACCCTTATGGTCTAGTTTGACTTCGGCAGCATAGGCCTCGTATGCCAAAAAACTGCTACTCATTTTGGATGTGAGAGATTCACTCTATGTCTTGTGACTTAGCGAGAGCTTTAAAACCCCTAGGATGTTCCTATGACATAAATTTTCTTTGTGACATCCTATACTATTTGTCACCTAAATGTAAGCTGGAGTTCTCTAATCAAATGTATTCCTGGGCCCTTCTTAAGCTACAATTAACTAAAGGGATAAATTCGTTTGAGAGTTGGTTTTGATGTCAAAACAAAGCATTCTTTTGATTTTCTGGTTACTTGGATAGCTTATGTATGCATTCTTTTATGGATATCTGGTTCAATGTGTTTTTATTCGTTCATGTTTGAATATACACCCTTGACCTATCACATGAGGTTTACCTCACACAATCTCTCCAGGTTCTTTTTCAATTTGTCTGCCTAGTTTAAGACTTAATTCCTTCTTTTTCGACCCTTCCACTACACCGAATCGTTCATAAGATTCAATTTGTTTGGTCCTTTCGCCATCGCTAGAGGACTGATCGTCTTTGAAATGGAGTCGAATGAGCGATTTGTTCTCCTCCCTTAGTTTTAATTTGCCGTTGGGGGAGCTCTCTTCTTGGCGTGGGACCTTTTGGTTCACATGTAGGAGAACTTTTCTTTGCTATCATGTGCCTGTTGGCCCTCGGCCAAGTCTTGGGGTTCGTTAATGTTGAGGTCGTAGAAAAATTCTCTGGGACCTCAAGGCTTGCTTCAATGTGGCTACAATTACATTGACTTTGAGGTCTTTCACCTGCAACATCTTTTCTAGAAGTATGAAATGAATCCACATAGACTCTAGTGCTCACCTTGCTTGAGTTGCCACAAGGATTACATGTTCTTTGTGGGTTTCCAGATGCCGGCAAACTGCACTAGAAACAATATCTTAAAATTAGCAAAGTTGTTGATGCTCTCGATCAGAAGCTCATGGAACCAATTCAAGGGTGACGACCTCAAAGTGGTGAGAAACAGATGGCATTTGAACACGTTCAAAATTTTGAGCACACTACCAACTTAAATTCGATAATATGGTTCTTAGGGTCTGACCTTCCTCTATTAGCTTCCAAAGTTGGTAGTTTGAATTTTTTCGGGGGCTCCGCTCTAGAGATTTAGAGTGAGAAAGCATTCTCTAAATGACATGGTGCCTCAGGATTCTCTTTCCACTTATGCGGATCATTCACTATTTTAGTACTGCGAGCAGCCTGCCCCCTCAGGATTGTGATCTGCCCTCCTATTGTTGTGCGCCAAGGCCACTCCTGTGATTATTTCTACTCATGTAGTGCTCGGTTTCCTGCCAGGGCTGTGAAGACCTTCAAGACTTTGACAAGCTGGCCCGACACTTGCTCCATAATCTGAGTTCTCATCTTCTGCATTTCTCTCTGCATGCGTTCCTCGATGTATCTCATGGGGATCCACGTTGGCTATTACTCTTTGGATGCTCCCTTAATTATTGATCATCAACCACTATCAAATTTAAATATTTATCTGCCGAAAAAATAGGCTACTAATTATTAAAGACATAGTAAATCAAGAACAATACAAAATATAAATTTCTTGGGTTTTAGAAAATTTAGATTTTGATATTATAAATATACAAAAAAAGTAGTAACTACTTAAATATACAAAATTTAAAATATTACAAGTACTATTTTCTATTAATAACAACATAAATTAGATATTTTACTGAAAAATATATGGCCTTGCAAGCATGTAAAAACACATCTTTAAACATTTACAATCCATATATATATATATATATATATATATAAATCTCATAAATAAATAAAAATAATTTTCAAAGTTCAAAATATAAACACATTCAACCCTTTCACATACTTGACATTGATAATTTTAACTGAATACATTTATACAACAGGACAAGGTCACAAGAGTCAACAAGTCAACTCCACCATGAACTATATTACCCCCCCCACATCCAAGCAAGTCTTCACCTTTTTCCCCTCCTTCATCTAAACCTTACCATTGCAGACTAATGGCAGACCTTACTGGCCGTCAATCTTCCACCGCAATCGACCATCTAAGCCGAGGCTTCGAGCGTCTGACTCAACTCCTCGCCCTCCTCTCCTCCTCTCCGGCGAAGTCAACCACCACATCACCGGCCATCGTGCTCGTCGAAAACGCCATGCGCTGCATTGCCACCGCTCTCTCTGTGCTGCAAACCGGAGATGAAGATGGTCGGAAGGGTTCGGATTCTCGGAAAAGGTAGATAAACGCATGCACTTTGTGGGTAAGTGTCGGATTATAATCACTAAATTTACATAGGATTGTTTTGAAAAAAACAGGAATAAAGGGAGGATGGAGTCATGGAGGATTGTCACTTCAGTGCCACATTTTGATGGTCATCAGTGGCGCAAGTATGGCCAGAAGCGCATTCACAGCTCAGTGTTTCCGAGGTAATTGTAGCTAAGACTATCCGTGGATCTAATATTCTTTTGAAAGAAGTTAATTTTTTCAATATCCTTGGCTTTTTATGTAATTTAAATTCATTTTAGAAATTTATGCAGATAGCTGCATCAAAATCACCGGATCTCTAATTTTTTATAAGTATTCTGCTAAAATAAATATATCAAAATTATTAAATTGTCTAAATTATATAAGAAAAATATATTAAATTTTAGTATTTTCAAATTTTATTGGAGACAATTGCCCATCCTAAATATAATCTAATTCCGCCCCCACTACATATCATCACATTAATTTTCATTAATATTTATATACAGTGCACATCTATCACTAATCTTTGATGTCCATCTATTTTAATGAATCACTTAAAAGAATCTTAAATTAAGGCCTAATTCATGATGATAACAAACATAAATTGTGGTGCTTAAATGATACAATGATTGCCATTTTCATATGATTTTTAGGACCAAGTTCCTTTCTAAATTGAATTCGGCTGTCAAGATATTTTGTTTGTGATACTTATAAATAGTAAGTTGAGATAACAACTAGACATACAAAAGACACCTTTTCTTAAAAAAACTAAAGTTGATAAACGTTAAAAGTTGAAAGTAAATTTTTTTGTGTAAATCCCTTCTTGTGTGAATTTAATGAGTTTTCTTCCCGGCTTTGATGATTGTTGCATCTTTTTTTTATCAAAAAGGCAACTAATAATTCCATTATTTCGTTATATAACTTAAAATCAATGTTAATTTTAAATTCCATTACAAGCATTCACTTACAACCCTTGCCATTTCACTTATACAGAAGCTACTACAAGTGCACGCACAACAAAGACCAAGGTTGCCAAGCAACGAAAACAATCCAACGGAAGGAAGACAACAACTCCAATCCTCCACAGTTCGTGGTCAGCTACAGCATGCATCACACTTGCAAAGCCAAAGAGACTCAAGAAATCCCCTTTGTAATGGATTCATTAGCCAATACTAATGAGCATTCTACTTACATTAGCCAAGCAGCGTCCCCTGATCATTCGCTAGCATTGGATCTACAGGTAGAAGATTTTGAGCCGGAGAGTCTAATGGACTCCATGCTTTCTCCTCCTAATGAGCTTAATGGAGAGACGAATTGGTTCGATGGCGACAGCATGATGTCACCTTTGCCTGCTTTCGAATTTGATTGGAATTACCAGATGAGTTAGTTGTTAAGTGGGATAATAAGGTAGGTTGAGTTTATATGTAAAAGTACGAGACAGCAGTGGCTACATATTTAGGCTTGTATGATGATCATGTTTATGGTCGTTTAAGAGCAGTTATCATAAGCTCTGCATGAAGAAGTTTGTGTATAGAGTCTCATAAATTTAGCTGAGAGAATTTTCTATTAGTTTACTATTTGAAAATTTGCTTGTTGTATTGATCATAATCGGTGATGGAATAAATAAGTTCGCTTATTGCAAGTATTAGTATTAATATGAAGCGGTATTAATCTAGTAGCCAGGCTTACAATCTTGAGTTGCATTTTTTGAAAGTAAAATTAAGTATTCATATTATATTTTGTATTATAAACTTTTAATTGCACATAATTTCTTAATGAGCTAAGACAACAGCTATAAGAAAATTTCCATTCAGTCCATGACTACTAGGTTTCAAAATATAGATCAACATGTCAACCCCTATAGATGAAAGATGTTTTTGGCAGCCCTCTCCACGACATTTTTTTATAAATTTGCTAGAAAATCTATTTTCTATCTTATTTACGACATCTAATTATCCGTGGGATAAAACCATGTTGGAAATGTATTTTGATTAATTAAGTGGCTAAAGGAAAAAAAAATTTCAATGCCACACTGCCGGTTGAATCGACAAAAAAAATTACAACAAAGAAATCATCACGGATTATTGTGCAAACCACTACTAAGTGATCGCTTGATGATGTGAACAACCACCCTTATTAGTTGATTTGATTGATTTGGCATTTACTGAATGTAGTGGGCAATATCACGTTAGTACAAACTATGTCGATCGATGAAAGCCCAATGAGGCTCCACTTTTAAATACTTTGAAATGGGGGATAGTGTAAATAAATAAGAACATGCCCTTTTTACATTAACCTCAAACCTACATGCATATGGTTAATGCTCCAAGTTCTAGATGCCCTTGAAAATCTAACTTGGCGGCCATTGGAAGAGCTATTCATTAAAGGTAAATCTCTAAAATTGACAAAAAATTGGCAGACGTTCAGTCGTTTTATATTAAGTTGTTTCTGACTGATGTACTAGCCGTATTTACGCTGGTATTTAACAACAAAAACACGATTGAATCATGAATTGAGTGAATCGGCTGAAGAATTGATGAATTTTTTCAGTTGGATCATAAATTAATTGTTTTCAGCTGAATGAGTGGTTGAAATTCACTGGGAAGAAAAAATGCTGTCATTTTTCTTCTCCAACTCATGCGATCATCTCTCTCGGTGATTATGAATCCCTTTCTCGGCTTGCACTCTATTCTCTAATTAGTGACATCTGTGAAATCATTGAGGAAAGTGACCCTAATTTTTTTGCCCTTTCCCTCCTCTTAACACATTTCATTTCTCAAGCCTTGAAAATCAATCTTCGAGCAAGATTTATCAAATCCTGAATTTAAGGAAAAATAGATGAGGAATGAGATATAAGAATCTCAAGGATTTCAATATGGTTTGTAGGATTTAGGTTAAATCATGCCCAAATCCTGCAAATGATTTATACTAAATCCTACATAAATTACGAACTTGTAGCTAGGATTGTAAGATATCATTATTGTAGTTTTGTAGAATTTAGGTTAAATCATGCTAAAATGAATTTAGGTTAAATCTTATATAATTTAAGAACATGTAAGTTTTAAGTTATGATTTTTGTTGTTAGATATGTATATGCATAATAATTATGTGATATGTGATACACCTGAAATGCTATAAATCATCGACAACCATGAAAGCGTACATGTTGATCAAGTAATATATAGATTCTGAGTCCATGTATCGATCCCATAAATCACCAATTAACAAACCATATCAAGAAAGCTCTAGCCTACTAGTTATGTTTCTTGCATAAATTTTTGGAATTGTTGGGGTTTTTTTTAACATTTCTACTTCTAATTTTCACAAAAAAACTAAAAAGGTAGGTAACTAAGTTATTAATTTGTTTGTTTCTCTATCTAGCAAAAGATTCTCCTCTGAATTGGATCTTAGAAATTCTGGTTTAACTATGTGATCAAAATATGGGTGACAACTAGAAACAAAACCCTCCCTTATCCCCACTCAAGCTTCTAAGAAGGTTTAAAAAACAAAACAAAAAAAAATCTCCTAAATCATGTGGTTTAAAAATCAAACAAATTTAATCTCCTAAGTCATGTGATTACCCGGGGATCCCATATTTTCCAACATGACTCACTAACCTTGAAGCAATAACCCTATTCTTCCAAGTCAATATAAGTTAGCCTAATTTGCTCCACTAGCATAACAATTAGCCAGGTTGAAAGTCAATTAAGCACAAAAGGTTTATGCTAGTATCAATTGAATCACATTATACACTTTAAACATAATATTCATAAATTACAAATTCATAGAAGAAATATGAATTCTACTCACTCCTAATGCTTTGTAACATAGAAATCAATGTTTTATGTAAAAACGACAAAGTAAATACAAAAGTTAGAAAGAATGAAATGATTGAGTAAACTCTTCCCACTGGGTCTTCCTTTGTTCTCCGTAAAAATAAATTAAATACACTTACTTACAACACCACAAGACTCTTATTACACAACCTCAAATATCTCTCACTACTTCACACACTTAGAGAACGATAAATGATTGGCAAAAAAAACAAACAAAGAGAAAATTTCTTAACCAAGTCTCTATAAGTGTGATCAATCTTCCAAGCTTCTTCCTTGCGTTCCTTTTTATCCTTCTTGATTTCAAACGATGCAAGAGATAAATCCATGCATATGAGTGCTTGTTGATCTCAGGGTGCCTCCTTAGTGACAGATTCACCGTATCCAGGTGCGCCTAGTGGTGCCAAGGCGCCCATGAGTGGCCTCCAGGTGTTAGGCCTTTGGATCTTGACATATGGATGCTTGGGTCACTAAGGATCCTTAGCGCCTAAGAGTGGGAGCTAGGATCTCTGGACCAAAGCACCTTGGTGTCCAACAGTGGCACCTAGGCGATATACTGTTTAAGTAGTCCTTCGCTCTTTGCTCCCCAAGTTGTTCCTTTGATCCCCAAAGAGCTCCTTTGCTTCCTAAGTTACTACTTAGCTCCAGAACTTCAAATTAATTGTATGTTGCAAAAAAAACCATAGATATCAATGAGAAGCATAAAAATGGCAAAAAATATAAAAAAAATTACTTTGAAATAACATGCACATTTGGTACACATTAAATACCCCCAAATTTAAATATTACTTGTCTTCAAATAATTTGAAAATTTTGGATTAGAATTTAATAAACATTGGGGAAGATTTAGATAAAAAATTTCTATATTTTTTTAATGATTTAGCAAATATTTATAAAAAAAGTGTTGTGGTCCCTCTTTTAGGCAGACTTCTAATAACTATAGTTATTAAAAAAAGCCCGTTGTTTGCAAATAGCTCATATTCTGCTTATTAAGTAGCTCATGTTTGAATTACTCATTAAGTAAATGGGTTGATTATAAACAATTTTCTTAAGCTTGAATTATTAACGAACTAAACACGAACAATCCTTTTTCGATCTTTTTTGGCTCATTTGAACTTAAAATAAAGAAACTATAAATATTATTTGTATAATAATATATTATATTTCTTACATATTAATATATTAAGGGATCAGAGTCAAGAATTTTTTGTTAGTGCTTGTGAGTGGTTGTGAGTGAGGTGATTGCTGGTGAGTGCCTTAGCTTTAAACCAACACCCAGGGTCAACCATAAGGTCCAACAGTCCTATGGGAACTCTCCTTGAGCTCCCTCATAATGACCCCGCCTACTAAGTGCTAGAGGTTAGGACCAATATGTAGAGTCAAGTTGCGTAAAGAGGAGTTTAGAATTTTTAATGGTGAGGGTTCCTTTTCTAGTTTTCTAGGAATAGTCAACAGGAAAGACCTATGGCTACTAAAGAGGAAAATCTAGACCTCAACCAAAAATGAGGGCAACAGAGCCCCCAAAAAACAGAGCCTCAATAAGAGAGGAGGTGGCTGGCTTTCAAACCCATTGCTTTTTAGGTCGGTTAGGATGATATCCCTTCCGTAGATACTTGTTTTGGTACAAGCAGTGGGAGTGACCTCGGGGACGTGCCCCAGAACTCTCACCATCCACAAAAGAAGTGCTCGCATTATTTGTAGTAAAAAAGGAAGAATAAGAAGCATAAGCAACAATATTTTTCTTTTTATTAATTTTAACAGATACATCAGGTGCAGGCTGCGCCGCTACAACAATGGACTTGATAGCATACACAAACTCTGGTGCGTAGGGATTAAGCGCCATGCTGGGGGTTCCTAACAACACCCCAACGGGCTTAACACCACGCGCAATAGAAGATAACACCCCTTGGCAAGTGGTGAACCGACGGGCCGAAACCCACATCCTACTATGATGATCTCGAGGGTGGGGGAAGTGGAGAAGCTCTCTCATAACACGCTCAAATGTCTCAAAAATATAAGCGAGGAGTTCTTTCTTAGAAATGGACTCTTTTTCTATTAAGGAGGAAATGACCCCCATAATTTTCTTAGACAAAAGGCTTGTTGTAGCCTTATTAATCTAGATAGCAGGTCTGAGGTGGCCTGCGCCACCGCGAGGAGGATGAGCCCTCCTGGTGATCCTGGCGGGGACATAGTCTTGACAGCCAGAGAAGACGAAAAAAGGGTTTCCCATCTACAGGACTCGGAGGCTCTACCTGAATCGGAATTGAAAAAGTAGTAGTAAAATTTGGCTGCTGAGCCCTAAGCAACTTGCTTCAATTTCTCCGGGCCTTCCTGCTTAACTTTGGAGCAAGATCAACCTCAGAGGGAACCAAAACCACAGGGTCTGAGACCGCAACAGGGGGAATGATGACAACAACAGTGCTGCCAAGAGACTGACCTGTTAAAGGTAGGAAAATCTGTGAAAACACTAAGGGACGACCCGACAACCTGGAGAACTGAAGGGTGGTGTGAAGCATCACCATCAGGTGCAGGCCTCCTCTTCGTAGAAGGAGCGGACTCGATGCGAGCCATCACAGCAGGAGTGGCTCCATGTGCACAACTCTCCTATATAAGGGGAGGGCACAGAGTAGTCTTAGAAGGCTTAGAATTACCCAAGGTAATCTGGATAGGGTGCTGTTGACCTCATTTTTGGTTGAGGTCTAGAAACTTCTTCAGTAGCCTAGGTATAGCCATAGGACTTTCCTATTGACTAATCTGAAAAA